TAAAAACCCCCCCCCCCCCCCCCCCGCCCCGGGGATATAATATGACATAATCATTTACCTGAACGCCTTCAGAAGCAGCGGAAACAGGAGTGGATGAGTAATCAGAGTCCAGCGTGAGGATAAGGTAAATTGCGAGTGCGAAAAATGAGACTGCCATTGCTAGCAATATCGATATAAACCAAGTAGTCTGCCAAAATGGTGAGTTCAGATCAGAACGGGAAGACGAGTTTACAGACTCCCTGTAGACTATTCGGGTAGGACCCGATTTCTGGACGGAGGCGGCCGGCGGCGCTGATTTTCTACGGGTGAGGCCGTTTGATTGTTGGCCGGAGGGAGCCACGATTGGAATCTTAACAAGTTGCCAGAGCTCCGATGGAGGGTCCGATAGCAATTGGAGTCCGAAAATTTTTGCGAGTCCAGATTTGAGTTTGAGATTAATGAAGGGAGTGCGTAGCGTTCGAGAATGCCACGTGCGTATAACGTTGAGAACGAATCATTATTTGCCACGTGGTCATGTGATGACATGGATTGTTTTTATTGGATAATTTGGCGTGGTTCATGTCCACGACATGTACTCAACTGGTCAATAAATCAACGAGACTGCAAAAATGAGGGAATAAATTTTGATCCTTAAAGTCTTAGTAAATTTCTAAGTTAGTCCTTAAATTGTATTTTATTTTAAATCCTCATTCGCCTATGGATTCAATTCTAGAGGAACTACCACATGATGTAAATGAACCTAATAGATTTATACGAATATCATCACACGGCTAGAGTTGGAACACCTCCATTGCTTATGAAAGTCATAAAAGAATGGATCTTTGCCTAATGAACACGAATAGTGTTATTTATCTAGAGTGATGAACATCACAATGGAGTCGCTGCCACATTGTCAAATGCTTCAAGACTGTAAAAGTGCATAAATCACGTCGTGGACTTCTTTCCTTTTCTTAGCAATTCATTGATTCAGCCATTGCATTCTTGTTTGAACCTTGTATGTGCTCATGTCTGGGTTACAATAGAATTTTTGAGCTCATGATTTCAAATAAATATATCAAATTAACTTCAAATGATTGTTAAAAAAAGGTTTCTATTCAAATATTGAATAATGATATCTAGAATAAGTGAGCTTTGAACATTAATTTAGGTGATCACATTTTATGTATTCAATTAAGTAAATTATGAGCGTGTCTGGAGCCACTTAAAATTCAATGTCTTACCGTTATTTTCGTGTACCTGGGCCCCATGTGTGAGATGAATGGTCCAACATTGCAGCTCAGAGGTCAAAAATTGGTTGAAAATCTGATCCAGACACACCCTAAGTGACATTATCCTTAAATATTTCATTGATAGAATTCAATTCAAATAAAAATACGCACGATGCCGACATGACTAACTACCCAAAAGCAGTACGTGGACAAATTTTGCATTTCGTTTCAATTGAATACGTGTAATACCGACAACACACCCAAAAGCGTGCTCCTTTCGCGTCAACTCTTCACTCATAAGACTTTTGATTGTGTAATCAACCAATTCACTGTTCTAATTCCGACTTTCGAATATACACTGCCTCGTATCACCCACGAATTTCGAATAAAATGACGTGGAAAATACGCGTAAACGTGAAATGAAAGCAAAGGCTAGTCCACACGTACTTCAAAGGTGGGCTTGACTTTGACTACTTGCAAGAATTTCAATATCCCATTTCACTAGGACATAATTTAAGCTGGTTGACATTTCGTGCCAAGAATCACTGGGACAATTCTATATATAATTATATTTGGTTTTGTCCAATTCATAATTTGACATGACAAAACATATTTTTCGAGGCACCATCTCTCACGTCATGTTTATTATTCATTTACTTCTTTCTCGTATAGTTTGTTCTATTGAGATTGTATCTATTCTTTATTTATAAAGTTTGTCGAAATATATTTCGCGACCTCGATAAATTTCTTTAATATATTCTCTTTAATAAAACCCTACATTACTTTTCTTGCCAGCTCCCAGTATACCGGTCCAATTGCTGCTATTAAAAAAAAGTCTCAAAGCCATTGCTTTATCACTTTTCTTCATCTTCATTGTTACCTTCCTACAAGTTGTGTTTCTGCTATTTCTATTCATTTTTGTGCTGCAAACATTGTTATTTAAACACAGAATTAAGAACATTTTCTGAAGAACAAACTTTTTGGAACATCATATGGAATTCGACACTCTGCTAAATACTTCATTGGATCTTAATGTCACGCCTTTAGGATTTCCAGATGAGGTGAGTAATTTTTTTGATGTTTCTTCTCCATGTTCGGAGTTGAATTAATGAGCTTTGGAGTGTTAGTCATCTTCTACTTATCTTCGATTCACTATACGATATGCAAAGAGTATGAATTCATGGCTCCTAGAGATCATCTCAGGATGATTTTGGAAGGTCCAAGGCTGTGACTCAAAGCCTTTGATTGAGAAAATAATACCACTTTCAAGCGTAAACATGCTTCTAAGCAAAACTCGAAGTCTTCGAGCCTGTGGGAATGTGGAGGAATTCCCTAGTTTAGGGAGTTAAACTGGCATTTTTCCACTTTATTTTCTGTTTCTTTAGACTTTGATATTCTTCTTGAATCAACGAGCTTTTCAATTGTCATCATTCCTTTATTTTCAACAGATTTTCTTGATGAACATTGAATACTTTCTTTTCATGTTTTTATACAGAGAAGTGCTTTGATAGATGAACTAAACCGAATTAGTGCTGAAAACAAGAGGCTCACAGAAATGTTAATAGTAGTGTGTGAAAATTACAATGAATTGCAAAGCAGATTAATGGAGTATAAAACCAACAATCCATCAATGGATAACACTGCAGCATCAAGAAAAAGGAAAACTGAAATCAATGGCTCAGCTTCTGAGAGCAGCTCTAGTGATGAAGAGTCATGCAAGAAACTAAATGAAGAACACATCAAAGCAAAGATTTCGCGGGTTTTCGTTCAAACACAAGCATCTGATACAAGCCTTGTAAGTCGATATTGATTGTGTTGAACCATCTCATCTAAAATCTTAAGTTGTTAGTGAGGAAACACTTCGGAATCATGGTTTCTCGATTAATTATTGTATATTAAAACTGCAGATTGTTAAGGACGGATATCAATGGAGGAAATATGGACAGAAGGTGACTAGAGACAACCCTTGTCCTAGAGCTTATTTCAAGTGTTCTCATGCTCCTACCTGTCCAGTGAAAAAGAAGGTAAGCCAAAATAAAGCCTAGGTTAATATTAGTTGCCACTTATTAGTAGAAAGTCGATTTGTGTGATAAAAAGGGATAGCAATGAACTTCTATGAAATAATTTCCCAGAACTCAGACTGATTATTGTTAAGAATTTGGGTTCCATCTTAAAATGTCAACATTATTAAGAGGAGTAACTCAATCCTTTATAAGTTGGTTTATGTTTACATCTTTATTCGATGTGACATTTTATCCCTTAACATGCCTTCGCAAGATGGTGGTTCGTTTGAGCAGACCAATAGATATATATTCCTTAACACGCCCCCGCAAGATGGTGACTCATTTAAGCAGACCAATCTTGAAATTCAAGTGCTCATTTTAAAGTTTTAACGGGATCGAATCGCTCGTTGGAACATAATGGGCTCTGATATCATGTTAAGAATTTGAGTTTTATCTTAAAAGGTTAACCTTATTAAGAGGAGTAACCCAAAATCTTTATTAATTGGTCTGTGTCAACATCATTTATTGCTCATTTTAGAGTCTTAACGGGATTGAATTGCTCGTTGGAGCATAATGGGCTCTGATACCATGTTAAGAATTGAGGTTTCATCTTAAAAGGTCAACTTTATTAAGAGGAGTAACCAAATTCTTTATAAGTTAGTTTATGTTTACATCTTTATTCGATATGGGATTTTATATCTCTTAACAATTATCACATAAGTTGTGTTATTGAATGATATTATGTGAATGTTTCTAGATACATGACTCCAATCAGAAGCTTAGTACCTGCTTGGTTCTCATAAAAATCATATTTTTAGTAGGTTTAGATTAAAGTCGATAAAAGTTATGGATCTCATAAAATATGTGGTTGAAAACGAGTTTGGTAAAAAATAAATTTTAAAAAATTGAGGCGAAATATGGGCTAAGTATCATATGACATTTGTATCATGAACTTTTTTTTGGCAAAAATGTACTAAATTTTCTTCTTAAAGTTCAAAATCATCCATAGAGAACATCTCATCTCTCTTTAAGACATCTTTTGGCTATAACTTGAAGACAACATTGCATATTGATACTCATTAAGCACATGTTAGGCACGTATAACGACTCTACTAGTACAATAGATAAATTATTTGTTTGTGTTTTCTCATACCTAATATTGTCTTGTCGAGTCCAATATTACGTACCAAACATGTATTAAAGGTGTGGAATTTGTAAGCAAAGTGTTAGCTTGGCCCTGATAAATGTTTTAACTTCTTGAAATTTGACAAGTCTTTAACATTCTAAAGTTTCTTCTTTCAATATTTTTGTAGGTTCAAAGATGTTCAGAGGATCAATCCGTTCTAGTTGCAACTTATGAAGGGGAGCACAACCATCCACACACATCCAAGCTTGAGATGACTTCTGGCTCAAACCGCTGTATGACACTTAGCTCGGTCCCTTGCTCCAACTCCCTTAGCTCGTCTCAACGGTCCATTACTCTTGACCTAACGGAACAAAAGATGAGTTACGATGCGAGAAATTCAAACGGCGAAGTTCATACACCAGAGTTCCAACAGTTTTTGGTAGAACAAATGGCTTCTTCATTGACTGAAGATCCAAATTTCAAATCAGCACTTGCAGCTGCTATTTCTGGAAAATTTCTTCACTAAACTGAAAGGCAGATTGCCAAATGTAGAGTACCATTTTTGACGTGACTTCTTTCACCTTCTTGTACATGACTTCTTTTGGAGACATTACATAGTATACATTTTATGTAATTGGAGACATTACATAGTATGCATAAAAAAACATAGTATAAAGTATCATACATTGAGTGCACGTTTGTCCCAAAGAATGCGTTCAAAAATTGGTAATAATTGCAAGTTTTACAGAATGCATGGATAGCATCTCCTAGAGCTGAGGACCTTGAATATCATTTTCCAGGCAAATTCTCTTCGGCCTTGTTTGATTGCAACGAATTCCATGAAAAATGTCACAACTGAGATCTGAGGAAAACGAATTCCACTTTAACCGTTTGATTGCAACGTGAAAATGGAAAACAAATTTCAAGGTACAACCACTTTAAACTGCATTTTCTCTGTTTCTTATAAAATGAATTTCTATGGGTTTGGTGAGTTTTTATTTTCCAACTAATATGGAATTGAAATTCTTTTCCAACTTTGCCTATCAAACGGACCCTTCATGTAATGTACACAGTACACACAGAAAATGAATACAATATTCATAATGATTTGTACATAAATTTCCTGTAAGCTATTAGGCGATCCTAAGTGCGGGAAACTATCCCTTCACATCATACACTGCGATACATCGTAGTACAAACACCTGACAAATACTAAGTTGATAAACTCAAGTCGTCGATAGCCCTAACTAACTCGAATTCAGCAATGTCTTCAGGTTGTTTCCCTTCGATCTTCGCATTCAGGCCCTCGTCCCTGTCCCTTGCACCAGCAGTTATACATTCCTGATATCTATAACAATTGATGAGATGGTCATTTGTGATTCCAGCTGCTTGCATAAAGGAGTAAATGACAGTAGGCCCGACTCCCCGAAATCCTCTTTTCACCAAGTCTTTGCTTATGGTTTCAGCTTTCGATGTCTTGATTGGAACCTGTCGTGGGTAGCGAAAATTACCTGTTACAGGCTTGAAGTTCACAAAACCCCAAATGTATTTTTCGAAAGACCCGAGCTCGTTTATTATCTGCATCAGGAGAAAGCAAAGAAATATGAAACTATATATGATTGTTGAACTGCATTAGGCGCTAAGCTTAAAATTTTCACATTGCCATCTTTTACTAATAAACACAATTCTTTGAACATACTCATTGTTATTTGACCCTTTAAAGTGGAAGATACATATAAATGGTTAACTAATTAGACATTTCATTTTATATGCTGTCTAACCGCCAATATATTTGGATTATGATAAATACTCAACCCATCTTACCATGTATACGTGCTTAACTGAAAATATGGCAGCAAAGTAAATAAATATTCGATTTCACTTCTAATGCGACAAATAAAAGCCATGGGGATTCATCATTCATATATAGAAACGAATATCATCATCACCATCTTTTCCACACTAATTAATATCTTCAGTCTTTTGGCTGCTTGTTTAAGGATGAAAAAGGCAACGACTGACCATACCTTAAATAATAATAAATCGTAGGCGTGAAAAGAAAAATGTAACACTGCAAATTTGTAGAATTTTTTATTTTTTTGAAAAAAGCAACAAAGTCTGTCAGGGTATATACCTTAGAAATTTGACGTGCATTTTCAATAATTGATCGAAGCTTTAGTTCTGACAGAAGACTGCTTGCTGGACTTCCTGGTGATGCTATCTTCTTCTCATTCAATTTTGAGACTACAATGGGATCGAAGTCCGCAAAGACTTCTCTGCATTCATATATTCACATATTGAACCAGCAACAACGAAAGCTCATGAAAAATAACAATCACCAAATTGTTGAACCAATTTTCTGATTGTCAAAAACATCACAGAAACAAATAAAATACCTAAATAGACGCCTTCTATTAAGAATGACGGGCCATGTTAGTTCAGCCAACGCAGTAGAAAAGCTCAGCAATTCAAAAAGTTTCCTGCAAATTGTCAAAAACAGAAATGAACAATGATAAAGCTATCATACAAAGTTTCATTCAAAATGGAAGCTGCAAATCAGAAAGCGAACACAGCTGCAAAGAGTACGTACTTATCATCGTGGACTGGAACTCCCCACTCCTCATCATGAAAAGCAGCATAAGTTGGATCTTTTGGAAAAGGAAAATATCAGCACAAGGAAATCAACAGAAAATGTAATTGGACATTTGGCAAATTTACATTCCAGCAAGAGGACTAAAAGTGAACAATATATAGTGACAGAAGAATCTCAAAATGGGTTGGAACTCAGCATCAATGCAGTGAAATCACAACTCAGCCAACGTCTGCCATTTATTTAGAACACACAGCATCTGCTTTGTAATATCAATGAATCCTCAAGTACGAGTTTTATACTATATATCAAGGAAGAGGACGACCACTGATGTAGGTAACCAGAGCCCATAGGGGAAGCTAGAAGGAAAGTTGACCAAATGAGGTTTCTAAAGTATAGGACATGACCGAAATTTCATGAGAATCCTTTTGGCCTATAGATTTCAATCCATACCTTAGTCTTTGGCAGCTGATTAGATGTCCCATTGCCCCTACTGTTTTCAAATCCATCAAAATTAATGTCTTTACAAATCATTCTAACTTTAAACTAATGAATGAATCTGCAGATACCTATCCACACAATTCATCGATGATTGTTGGATCTCTCTCTCTCACTCTCTCTCACACACAGAGTAGAGACAGGGGAATCCTACTCTATTCATGATAAGTATCTATCTGTATATAATTGTTCAGTTTCCCTAATCCTAAGCTAAAATGTTTTAGCAAACAAGATTATGATAAAATTTTGTTTTCTAAATAATTTTCCTTACGTACATGAGCATTCCATACTTTTTGAATTTGGCAATAAAAATTTGATGAATTCTGAAATAGTTCTTTGGGACACAGTGAAATTGAGGTTGGTTATCAATCTCATATACTTAATTACAAGTATGATTTCTTCCTGCGACCAGGTTTGGCTGGGACAATTGGATAGCTTGCTTTGATTTATATAAACTGTAATATCTATTTTTCTTTGTACAGTTCTGGGTAACGGTGAGACTTTCGGTATTGCAGATTCATTTCTTTGTAGGCTAGAATTTAATGTTTACCTCTTGGAGAGAGAGAGAGAGAGAGAGAGATCTCAATTCCATGGATTCAAAATCCTTTCTCTAAATCCACTTGCCCAACCAACAGATGTAGAAGCATTGGAATTTGAAATAAATGATTTGAATCAGTTCATTTGAAATTAATTCTTACATCTGAATAAATATTTCCAAATACAAGCTGAGAAGATGACCTGGAAATATATTTCAACCTACTAAAGTGAAACCATGTTAGATGGAGGTAGTTTAATTGACTCTAAAATAGAAAGGGTGACTACCCTTCAACCTCCATTGTGGTCATAGCAAGTTTTCTCTTTTTTTCTCCCAAGAGTAAGAATATCCATTATCTAACTACATGCAATGACTTCAAATTCATATGCGGAGAACACAGTCCAGAAGTTCGTGCTCAACAAATCAATTTGGCCATTCACCAATAGATGTATACACCATCCTGTAACACCTAAATAGCAGCACAAAAGATCTCCTCTTTATTGATGTAGAATTACATGTGATTTCTCTCAAGTGTTCCCACCTGACGCAATATCAACACACGTCCAAAATTAACAAATATATACTATGATTGTCAAAACCACCTAAGAACCTTCAACTCGGGCATTCATTTTCAAATCCACGCCATAATGAACCTAAATTTCTAGGCATGCACGATTCCAAATTCCAATAGTCAAAGCATCAAAATATTTTGTATAATCCTTACTAATTGGCTAACAAATTTGAACAAATTTGATTATGAGATAAAATAGCTATTATAATAAGCTCGGAAAATCAAAGAACCATGTAAAATGCAACATACCAGTATTGGGAGTCACCCAAGCACACCTCTTCTTGGCTACTGAACCTTCCATCACTATACCTTCACTCTCACCCCCAATACTTTTCTCAACTCTCTCAATTTTCTCATTTTTTGGGCCGCATTGCTGCTTCCTTCTAATTGGTGCAGTCGGGGTAATGCTCTGCCTGTTAATCCTTCCCGTGGAAGCCCGGCTGTGCGAAGAATCCGAGGAGGCATCAGAAGAACATGAAGCGTTCATTGACAAATTCGGTTGCCGAGTCCTCAAAACGGAGGCTGCACTTTTATTTTTACTCTTAAAACCCATCGTCGGAGATGATTGTTCAGTTTCCTTGGCGGCTGGAGACATTTTCCCCTCGGGCTCGTCACTATATTGGGATTTCACTGCTTTCTCGAACTTGGGTTTCGAAATTGGCTTTTGCAAAACCATGGATCTAGCCTTATTACCGGCTGGCCCGAGCACCGGCCTCGTCTCCGATTCAGTGAAATTCACCGATTTCACTCGTGGCGGTCCAGACATTAAATAAAACTGGTAAAAAACTAGGGTTTACAAAAAATAGTAGGGAAGTGGAAATTAAAGCGCACAATATGTTCCAGTAACTATTCGGCTTCTAGGAAGGGTGAGAATGAGGATACATTGTGATAAAGAGGGGGTTGAGTACAGGGATTCACAACCGTAGTGAGAGAGTAAAAATGTGAGTGAATTCTTGTATTCTATCAGTCCCAGGACTACGCTAGCTGGTTAGGAGTGAGTGAGCGGCAACGGAGGCCGGTGCACGGCGTATCACGTATGGAATCTGAGAAAAGCGGGGAACTACGGAGCCTAGTCGAGGATAATTTCTGAAGAGAGAGAAGGGGAAGGTGGAGGAGGAGGAGAGAGAAGAAAAACCAACCGCTGACAAGTAGCCACGTAAAGAAGGACTAATTTCCTTTTATTTTTGCAGATGAACCAACGGAAGTTTTTCCTTTTCTTTTTGATTTCTTAAACTGATTTTGAGGACAACAATGGACTGACATTTATAATACATAAAAAGGGATAATTTCAATGGGGTTGCTAGCCTTTTCTAGAAGTAAAAATTAAGTCCTGAACATTTAAATTTTGGTAATGTCTTTTCAAACTTTTCACATAAAAAAAAAGTGCAATAGTAAGACTTCAGATAGTTACGGCGCATGAAGTGCACTTGTCCAAATTTTAGAAGGACAAAAAGGTTTATCCACATTTTTCTACTTAGCATAATTTGAAATGGTTTAACAAAAATAATATTGTTATCTTCAGTAACCCCAACCATCCAACCCGCGCATCCAAAATCAATTACCACCACTTCATATGCAATTACCACCACTCCATCTCTTCTCCCTCCAACTATTGGCTCAAAACCAAGGGAGAAATCTCCCCGAGAGTGGAGCGGTGGCGGTACGAAATGGAGGGAAGGTGATTGTAGCAACGATGACGATGGTAGGCTGGATGTTGCATAGAGGAAAAGGTCGAAAAGGAAGAAGGAGCCTAGCTTGTGGTGGCGCAGGTTTGATTATGGTGAATTTTGGGAAGATGATACATTTTATTTTTTGTTTGCTTTTTCTTTCTCTTCTTTTCATTTATGGTGAAGAGACAATTTTGCCATTCAAAAAAGTGGGAAAGTAGAATTCATAAACTTAGCTAACGGATTTCTATCCAAAAGTCCTCACATTCCATAGTTTTTTCAAACATTTGGGATGACAATGCCAAATAAACAAAAGTGTGGGACCATTTATACTTTTTGAAAAGGCTGGAATTCCCGCTACAATTTTCACATAATAAAAAAGATACATTACCAACCAATCTCACTCATACTTGGATCTCAAAGTTCAAACGTCTTTTTTATTGGTATTAAGCACCTCAATCTTCTACTTTTAGGCATAAATGGTCCCTACACATGGTGGCACCTCAATCTTCAACTTTCAAACGTCCTTTTTCTTGCTCTGGATGATGGGTACTCGGTACATGAAATGGAGGGTGAAGAAGAAGAAGAAGATTTTTATTTTTACCTTTTTTTTTCCTTTTATAAATAATTATGTCTTTTTATAAGAGTTCAATATTTAGTTCCAACCTATAATGTCGGTCCTACTTCCAAGTTGCCCAACATATAACGCCCACGTGCACTCTTAGCTTTAACTTCTACTACTCAATAATAAGCTCCTCAAGTGTTCCATTTTTAGGAGACAGCATTGTGGTGAAAAGACATATTTGCCCTCAAAACGAAATGAAACAAACCATCATCATCTTCTCCAAGCCATCATCATGAAAGACATGCTTTAAATCAGCTAATAATGCAAGACGAGCATAAAACCCCAACAAAGAGCCATTTTTATTAAAACACTTCCTGAAACAGAATATGCTTACAAAGGAACACAATTCGATAATTTCCATGATAACAAGATTGCACGAATGATAAAAACTCGTAACATTTCAAAAATGATCCTCAATTTGTAAATTCAGGAGTGTGGCTTGGCACGAGTAGCTGGATCTTCCTTAGATTCAACGAGAATAATAAATATATAGCCGAGAACCCACAGGAGAATGTAGAAGAAGGGAACCCAAGAGAGACATGCAGCAAGACTCATTATGCTGCCAACATACTGTGGATCCTTGATTACTCCGAAGGGGAATTCTGTCACCCATGGGACGTTCTTTCCAAAACGTACGCCATAGTACGTCCCCGATTCTCCTAACAGTTGATAGACCCTACATCATGATTGCATTAGTACAACAATCACGCGAGAGAATGTTTAGAGATTAAAGCCCAACCAAAAAGGGCTTATGCTTGAACAGGAATCAACTAGAACTCATGCCATGTTTATATAACTATGGTTTCAAACTGTGATCATCTATGGAATAAACATCCCGCACATGTTTGGTATATGCAGTATTGGACAGCACTCGACAATAATATACACGAGATTTAAGCTTCTTTTTCTTCCTCAAAAATGTATGAAGTTGTCCAACTTAACAGACAAGCCACCAGTGCATTTTCTAATCATGCATGTCAAGACCAACCCAAATAGAAGTATATACTAGACAGGTAAATTTGTCTGCATTTAGTTCATTTCTTGAGGAGGCTTACACGACTGCAGAAGTAGGCCGATAACATCTAAATATCTACTCTTGATCAACAGCACATTGTTGCACATAGAGAAATAAAAAGAATGAAGTGCATGAAACAGCATTTGAAATAAGGAACTATGGACTCCCATAGATACTGAAGATAACAAATATAGGTAACCAAAATTGTCTTTCAGTGGGCACTCCATAGTCTATATATTCACGTCACCAGTTCAACTAAAATAACACAACTTCGTGCTTCTCTGGTCATCACAGTTGTATAGTTAGAATGGTATTCGAATGCTGCACAATCATTATAAACTGGACTGTAAAAAGAAGAAATATAATATACTACAGTTTTCTTGGGAAGTTAGAGATCATTACATGGAAACAATAATCAAGAAATGGGAAATACAAACAAGAGGTGAAGAAGCTGGTACAACACTTCACTGGAAAGCCCAAATTTCCAATAAGCTAACCTACTGAGCTAAATAAATTATATACGTTCGCCATATCCACAGCCCCAATTTTGGCAAAAATACTCCATAAACCACTAGTATAGATTGCTAAGCATCTTGTACATAGTTTTAAAAAGATTAAAACTTTCAGTTAGGTATCAATAGAACTCTTCCAAAACCCACACACGCAAATATACAAACACATAAAAGGCACATTTAATCCGCAGCACTGAAAACCACAACGAGTAAGATTTTAACTTATTTTTGTTCTTTACTGTCCAATACCATCACAAATCCACCTCAGGAAACCTGCCAAAAAGGGAGAAGGAGAAATGGGTTACCTGAAGTTGAGGAATTGCCCAGCAATAAAGAGAGGCCAGAAGTAAAACGGAGGCGGCCAAGAAATCGTAGAGACAGAAAATAGTGATACGAACTGTACTATTTTGAAAAAATGAGAAACCAATGCCATGACTCTGCAGGGATCATGGCCCCTCCCGCAAAGATCCACCCATGATTGTGGGTGTGTCCACAGCCAGTAGTAGAATGGGAATGGAGATATCACTCCTACACATGCCCATAATCCCATTATTATTTTTTCCTATTCTTCTACTGGTTTATAACGATTTACAGAAAAAAACAGAGATTGTGAACTCGGTGCAGCAGTAGATTTTAAAACTGAAATTGAGAAACCGATGGCTGTGGCTCGTACCCGCACGGTCAGCCCTAGTGTCACTAGGGCCATCTGTATTTTTACATTTTTAGCACTTCTTGGTTAAAAAACCAAAAAATTTAAAAAAAAAAAAAAAAAATTATAAACCAAGCTTCTAAGCCTTTGTTTGGTTTCATTATTTCAAAAATGTATTTTTCTCATATTTTCAATCACAGATTTTCCAATTAAATAATATTACATGTAAGTCAAAAAAATTTCCTTATTTTTTTATCCATATATTCTCTAAAAAATCGCAAAATATATTTTTCTCAAAATTTACTTTTAATGGAGCCCGATGTGTGTAGAAAAAAGTGAATAAAAATTGTGAGTTTTTTAAATCTTTTATTTCATAATACCTTTTCAATTTGTTTTAAAAAAAAAATTGGTTTGATCCCGTAAGCATTACAGGAATAGTACTTTCAGAAAGGGTTGGTCGCTCACTAGAAGAGCTTGCACCGAGGTTTTCCATAGGTGTGCCAAACCCATCGTCATAACCTCATAGGGTCATGTTGGTCAGAGCATGATCCTTTCAACACCCCTAAATGATTGTGTCATTGTCTCCTCGTGGGCACACTTGATTCTCACTTAAAACTTTAAATGTATTTTGGTTCTTGATTTTTTAAAATAATAAGTTAAACAATTCGTTGTTGTAGCAATATTAGCGTCTGTCTGTTTCTCATCATTTCAGCATAAAAATGAGAATTGTTACCGTTATATTCAAAGTTGTGGTGTCCACCAAGAGAAAAACAAGTCAACAATGGTGGCTGTGGCACTGTGCAACAGTCCTAATTCTTCTAAAATGGGCAAAAAAGGGAGAAACAAACAGGGGCTTAGTTTCTTGCTAGTAACCTTGGTCGTCAACCTTTATTGCACCGTCATTTTTATAGCATATATGCATGAGGATGGTATTTTAATGCAGAGTTAGTCTTTATTGCAAATCTTTGCTATATCAAATTAATTTTCTACGATGGTGATTGATGACAATCACTTAATTTAGCAACTTAAAAAGTAATGGGCATTATTAATATAAGTCCAAATGTATAATAAATCGCTTCCTCTTTCGGACTTAAGCATTGGATGATTGTGAGAACACTGACAACGTTTATTTTGCAAGATTACTTGGACGAAGATCACAAGTTGGGAGGATTACTAGACTTCAAGAAGTTTGGGATTTATCTTTTCATCGGAGAATCCATTGTGTATACGAGGGTATTGCACATGATTAAGGCCATTGTGATCGTAGACACTTCGCCATGTATGCTTGACAAAGTGAGACTTAACACATATTCCAGAGATAACGTCGACACCATTCTCGGCATCGTTTAGCGATTGAAGCATGATAATGAAAGTAGATCGAGCATTACTCTCTTCTTGAACACTAAAACAAATACTGTGAATTTCTATTGTTCATTTTCTGTCCGTTTCTACAACCTCATTCATGACTTCCTTGAACCACTCGAATGAACCTTGTTCTTTAGTCACCTAGTAGAAGTATGTCTTCTTTGTTTTGAAGTTACCTCTCTTTAGTGTAAGAAGTGGAGATGATTTGAATAATTAAGAAATGAAGGGTTTAAATTTGTAACTCATTAAATCCAATAGTTATAGAGTATAAGCAGAGAGTGGATTTAAAGTATAAATTATAAAATCATCAATCATTCTAGCACCTATCTCTAATTTAATTGAAATTCATGTACGGTTTTAATATTCAAATTAACAATTTTCTCATGTGATGATCCAAATTCTAGAATTCAAATAAATTGAGGATCTAAAATTCCATTTTTATAAAGTTGAGGGCTCAAAATTATAATATCTGAAAGATTGGTGAGTCCATCCGTAGGTTACCCCAAAAATATGGAAAAATTGTAGCAAAGGTCCAAATATTTCATTTTGTTACAGAATACACCTTAACTTTTTATTTTTGTGATCGCAATCACAATCCCAAACCTTCAACTTTCATTGCAGATGGAGTCTATTTGACATAATCCATCCACTTATTCGTACTACTTCTACATAAATAATTATATAATTGTTTACATACAAATGTGGTGTCAAAAAAAGAGTGAGGGAGTTTTTTTTTTTTTTTTTTTGCTTATTTGGTTAAAGAAATTTTGTTCCAATCATGTCTCACCATATCATGTTTATGCAAATCATCATATAAATTTATATGTAGCACAAACGAACAAAGCTTAACTATTTGTCTACTCCAAACATTCAATCCCCAGTCGCCACCCAACCCAACGCCAAAACTCAGGAAACCAGCTACTATTGCCATTGTCGCCCATCGTCGTCCATCCATTCGACATCTCATCATCCGTCGTCACCACCGCAAATGCCACCACCAATTATCACAAAACCACTCAAATCCAAAAATTTTTAGAACATTTGCGCTCCCACAACCGGCCACTCGTCGGAACTCTTCGACCCAAATCCATTTCCATTCCTACGATCTTTTAGAATCCCGCGTTGTATACATATTTACTCTCATTCCACCATTCCCATAACCCATTTTCATCGTCTTCTTCAAGAAAATCCAGGGGCCAATGTAAAGTCTTGAGCTCTTCTTCTTCTTCTTCTTTTCTTTCATGAGGCCTTTCAAACTTCAATGCAACAAGACCCTCTCAATCTTTGAGTATTCCAAAGCAAAATCAATCTTTTGTCATAAAATTTGGAAGAGTCATACCTCAAAAGCTAGCTATTGAAGTTGGACAGCCCAATCATATATAAACTACACAAAGGAAGCCCGTACTTTCGATGTAGGATTCAAACCTCAATAAGTTCCATTGGAACCATGTCAAACCATCACGCTTCCGACCCTAGTGCCCACGTGGGACATGCGTCCATACACCAACTACGGTCTCGAGCTGCTTTAACACCAACGTCATAGAAATTGGGATAGCCAAACCTCAGAAGTTAGCCGTCGAAGTTGGAGAGTCAACGCCTATATAAACTACATACTTCTGATGTGGGATTCAAAGTTCCACCAGAACCATGAAATCTTTATCATCGAATTCCAAGCTTGCAACTAAAAAATAGAGTAATAATTCCGTACAAAAAACTGAGGATAAAAAACCTACAATTTGAGTTGATTCAAATATGAATGAGAAATCAGAAAATGGGGGTTTGACCTAATTAACTCATTGATCACCTATGGGAAAAGGAATCCTAATGGTTATTGTTTTCGTGCGGGTTGTCGCTAACAATTAAAAAGGTTCAGACGATTGTATAAAGAACATACCACTTGAGACAAAGTCCCAGAAAAGAGTGTTTTATTGGTGAAGATTTACAATCGGAAATAAACAGAATGCCTCCAAGAGACGCAAGCACACGAGTACTAGAAAAAGTATTTTAAAGTTAAACTAAAAAATTGAAATTACATATTCTCTATTGAGAGTATTTGATTTGGGGTGCTTCTTCTCTATGTCTTCATTTCCTTTTATATTCCCTTGATAATTTCTTTGTGAAAAACTGTTTGAAAACTGCTTGATACTCTATAACTACCCACTTTCTTCGTGATGACCGACTTGTCATGGAACGGCCGTCTCTAACGGTTGTCATTACTCTTATCGTTTAACTGCTTACAACCGTGATTCTTGGATCGTGGGGTGTGATAAAGTTGTTTAATAACTCTTCAATAACTGTTGTTTTGGATAACCATAATACATCATGTTTGCTAAGATCATGGGTGATTCGAAGGTTTGGGTGAGAACGAGCTCATTTGCTCTGGGTGATCTTAAGGTACTTCCATTCGCTCAGATCCTGGGCTTCTTGCAAGTTTGGGCGAAGGTGATACCTTATTCGTGGGCCTTCACTACATTTATTAATGGTCTTATTTGAGCCTTCATCCTGGACTTCCTAACTGGGCTTCATCCTTTGGATTATTCAATTTGGGTTACACTTTTTGTATGTCACCAATTATGCTTTGAAGTAACTAATTGAGAAGCCCATTGAAGCAAAGATGACTAACTGTTCTCTTAGACAGAATATCAAACTCCAACTTCTGCAACCACAGAGGGTAGGAGAGAAAACAACGGTGAATATTGGTGGAAGAGTGAAAAGAAGAGGTATGTAGAGGAAGGTCTTATAATAAAGAGATTGTGATGAATAGAGTAAAGAGGAAAATGGGTAGTGGAAAATCCGAGGATTGTGAAGAAGAAGGTGGAAACTTGGGTTTAGGCTATTTGGGTGGAAAATCCGAGGATTGTAAAGAGGACCCAGGATTGCGAGTCAGCACAGACGATCATGGATCGTCGACCGTTGTCAGCAATAAAATATTAAGAGCCCAGTTTGATTCATTTTAAAATAGTGATTTGATGGAAAATGTGTGGTTAAAAATAAGAAATTTTTTTGAATTTGCATGTAATATTATTTTATTGAAAAATGTGCAGTTGAAAGAAGAGAAAAAAATGTATTTTTTTAAAAAAATAAATCAAACAAAGTCTAAAATTTAAATATAATAATTATTTTGTTGAAACTAAACATATATAATTTTGTTGTAAAAATTAAAAATATTCACCAAATAATATTGTGGTCAAGTTTTGTATAATTCAAAAGAAGAGCACATATTCGAATTTTTACAATTGCATTAAAATCGTTAAAAATTTACAATTGAAATTTCTTTCCACATTTACCTATCAAACGGACTCTAAGGCCCACGTGGCCAAGAAAAATCGAACACTTAAATTTATGTCATGTCTTGCTTTCGATTATGATGAAATTGAAATTAATAATTAATGTAATGTAGATTGGTGTTAAACAACATTTGTTGGGAAAAAAAACGGATCGAGATAATACGTATGACACGATATAAAGTATAAGATCGCAAATAAATAACAAGATAAAATACAAATAATTAAGTGGCAGAAGAATAGAGTATTTTATTCAATTGACTAAAATGGAGAAAACGAATATAATAATTGTATCTACATAATTATTCTATATTTCAATAATACAAAACTTGTGAAAAGAGTTTAGTATTTATAGGGATGCATGCTAAACTCTAGAAATACCACAAAGATGGAAACAAGATAAAAAATTATGTGAAATAAAGGAAACAATATTTTCTCAATAAAAATACGTGGAAAGAAGGAAAACATATTTTCTCAAAAATAAAACCTACTTTGAATAAAAAAAAAAACATTATTTGTTCTAAAATATATATTATTCAAGTAAACTTATTATCAAATTCTACGAGTGCCACAATGGTAAAGTGTTAAATATCTTACCCTGAGTTTAGGGGTTCAAATCATCTCCCTTATTTCATTTAATTTTGGCAAATATTGTAGAATTTAAAATATTTCACAATAAAATTGTTGAAAAATGGATTCAAAACAGGGACCTCTCATGTGAATATAAAGGTTCTTGCCAGTTGAGCTACAAGAAATGTATGGTGAAAAAATAACTTACCAGGTATATAATCTCAAATGTTTATTCATTGTAAAAAAAAACTGTTCTGGCGGATCCAGCACGGGCGGCCGCCGCTACTGCTGGGTGCTGGGCCCGCCCCTAGTGGTGGGAATTTATGGTTTCACCTTGCCTGTGATGTGCCACTGTCAATTCCATATACAAGGCTTAATCTACCTTAAGCACATTTTTCTCTTACATGTTCTGGAAAGGAAAAAATGTATGATTTGTACCAAGCAATGTAATAGCACTGCGAGTTAGCGTTTGCGATGGTGATGGTGGAAGGTGCAACGTTGCTGGTTTCCTGGGTTCTAGTGTGGGGGTGGGGTGTTTGGAGAAAACAAACGGATAATTTTATGAGAACGACTACATTTACAGTCATTAAAGGCTGTAAATTTTACAGCCCTCTCACATGAATGTCGGGCCCACTAATTAATTAATTAGTGTGTCCCACATTCATGTGAGATGATTGTAAAATTTACAATCCTTAATGACTGTACAAGTGCATTTTCCTTAATTTTATTTTATTTTTTTGGTTTTTTGTTTAATTATTTTAGAATTTTGCTACTTGTACATAAAAATCATGCATAATGGATTACATAATATGATGTAGAGGAAAATAACTGAATGAAAAAGTTAATTGTATTTTAAACTGATAAATGATAAAGCGTCACGTGATATTATTTAATTCATTATGTAAATTTTGATGTACATGTAGCAAGATCTATTATTTTATATTTTACGTTTAATAATTTGTTAAATTGAGTCGAACATTTAATTTAGGGGTTGACAAACGGATAAGTGGATGAACTCTGTCAAATAAACTCCAGCTGCAGTGAAAGTTAAAAGTTTTGGGACTACAATCGTAAAAATGAAAGGTTACCGTTCATTTTGCAACAAAATGAAAGGTTTAGACCTTCCCCGTAGTTTTCCCCAAA